GAACAAGAAAGAGAACACCACCAGCATCCCAAAACTAGCATAGATTCTGATTCAGTAGGGCTGGACTGGAGCTTGAGATTCTGAATTTCTTTTTTTTTTTTTAATATATTTTATTAAATTTTTACAGAAAGGAAGGGGGAGGGATAGAGAGTTAGAAACATCGATCAGCTGTCTCCTGCACACCCCCTACTGGGGATGTGCCCACAACCAAGGTACATGCCTTTGACCAGAATCGAACCTGGAACCCTTCAGTCAGCAGGCCAACGCTCTATCCACTGAGCCAACCTGGTTAGGGCAAAAGATGCTGCATTTCTTTAAGCTACTGATGTGCTGAGGGTACAGAACCAGAAATCACACTTTTAGTAGAAGAGCTTTAAGACACCAGTTGCCACTGCAAAGGAGTTCTTGACTGGGTTGTTTTGTTTGTTTGTTTGTTTGTTTGTTTGTTTTCAATTTCCAATGGAGTCGTTGTAGAAAATGGATGTATTTTGGTCTCTATTTATTACTCTAGCACCATGGTTGGCAAACTGCGGCTCGCGAGCCACATGTGGCTCTTTGGCCCCTTGAGTGTGGCTCATCCCAAGCCTTAGGAGTACCCTAATAAGTTATTAACAATGTACCTACCTATATAGTTTAAGTTTAAAATATTTGGCTCTCAAAAGAAATTTCAGTCGTTGTACTGTTGATATTTGGCTCTGTTGACTAATGAGTTTGCCTGCCACTGCTCTAGCAGATTCTCCTCTTTTCAAATAGTGGTCACAAATATCCTGGGGAACAAACACACAGCCTCAGGTATAAAATCTTCTGAGTCTATTTAACGCTAAAATTTTGATAGAACTAGGAAAATTAGTCAGTATAGTGTACCATGAGCATCTCTTTGTGGATTTATTATGAGCAGATTATTTTTTTAAAAAAAATATATTTTATTAATTTTTTACAGAGAGAGGAAGGTAGAGAGATAGTTAGAAACATCGATGAGAGAGAAACATTGATCAGCTGCCTCCTGCACATCTCCTACTGGGGATGTGCCCGCAACCCAGGTACATGCCCTTGACCGGAATCAAACCCGGGACCCTTCAGTCAACAGGCCGACGCTCTATCCACTGAGCCAAACCGGTTTTGGCTGAGCAGATTATTTTTACTATAAGCTTGTTTCTTCACTTCCAAGAATCACTGATCTTTCCCATGCTGGCCCTTAGCTTTTTGATGTGGGGGTAAAATCCAATGGAGGCTAGACTTGCTGATTTCCTGCATCCTACTGTCACCTCACCCCAGCCTATATTCTTTTGAAGGAGAATATAGGGGGCAACCTGGGGGGCGGGGGTAGCAATCTGAATCTGTGCCAGTAACCAGTATCCTAATGCACATTATTGTTAGCCTATAATTAAGTCACTGCCCCTTCCTTAGGCAATAATCTGTTTTCCTAAATACTCCCAATTTACAAGAGCCACAAATGAAGAATTTAACAGCTTAGCCAGAGGAGAGGGAGGTCACCGGCACCACCCAGGCCAGGACTTTAGCTATAATCTTACTTCCCATTCTAACTAACTTAAGTAGGGCTGCAAAAGCCCACCACAAGAGCCCAGAAGTTAGGAAACAATTTTAGGAATATATATAAAGAGTAATCTCATTGTATAAGGGGGTTCAGGCTTTGGATCTTCAAATACCCTGAGCCAGCAGCGCTTTGAATAAAGGTTTCTTTTTTTTCCCCCTGAATCTCCGAGTACTCATTGTGTATTTTCTGGTCACCTGGTAAATTCTGAAGCACTTTGGCATTCTCCTTATTTGTTCTGACTTTATTTAAAGGAGCAGTGCACAATGGCATGACAGTTTGCCTATAACAAAACCAAAAGGAGGAGAATGTGTATTTCCCTAAACTCACTGTGTTCCTTTGGTAGTGTTTCCCACTCAAGCTGGACTGTAGCCTTTCAGGTTTCATAATGAAGTCTGGTCAACTCCTACAAGGTTACTGTTTCTCACCGGCTCTCCAGGCCACTACTTTGACAACAGTGTCAGGACTTAATTCATGAATGAACGGTTTCCTATTTCATAAAATTGGCTTTCTGGAATCTATGGAAGAATGTTTCTGCCTCGTTTCTCAAAAGACTGCAAAGTGCTAGATGGTGCTTTTAACACCTGTGATACGTCTATCTATTCTCACTGTCAGGACCTGAGTGGATGACTCTGAAATGGTATTTCCTCCCTAGGAAGAAGTGTAGTTATTTTACCAGTTAGCTCCCCATGATAGAAGCTTCCAGAAAACAATTAAAAATAAAAACTTTATAAACCTCTTCCTTTCTGTGTAAAACCTAGTAATCATAGGAAATTTACTTTCATCAGCTTTCTTTACTCATCTTCCTTCCTTTGGTTGACCTCCTTCCATTTTGCCATGAATTTTAAACATTCTGAAGTTCTTCATAAATCTCATCATCATACTAAAACTATATAGTTCTAAACTAAACTATGATTTCTGAGAATACACCAGATATCTTCATGCCTATTTTTCACAGCCATTATTTCCAACTATGTTGGTTTTATAAATTGCCATAATCTAAGGTACAGACACTCATAGTGTAAAATTCTCAGATGAACCCTCATATTCACCATATTAAACATGACTCTCAGACCAACCACTCAGGTGTGTTGGATATATAACTCTATTCCTTTAACTCAGCATAAGTTCATGTTGGTACTTCCATCATGCCTGGCAGGTGGAAAATATATCCTACTATTGCAGAGGTCCCTGCCTCCCCAAGATTGAGTCAGCTCTGAGGAGAGGTCATTATACAGTATCAAGGCATTGAAGGGAACTTGTCTGGTTATTGAGCAACATGTGCCCAAAGATTATCTGTGAGACACCTACATGACCTTTACAGCTTCCATAGCTAACTGCTACTTTCGTCCTAAAATTGATCCATACAAATCTTATGAAACTGGCCATGTTTCAGTCTGTCGATCTGGCCCATGCAGGTATCCATCATCATTAGGGCACTTAGTACAATATCTGACATTCATATTAACCATATTAATTACAGTACAGTTATTTTGGTTCTGTAGCAAGAGGATAAATCCCATTCAATTAGCAATCAGAGTACAGTTATTTTTCATCCCCATGTTAGACACTATTTTAACTCTGGTATCTTTGGCTAACTCCTCATTGATTTCAGAAAATTTGCTCTCTTCTTCTAATTAACTCCCTGTTCTAACCCCAGAGTCCTAATTTATTACCATGTGGATAATTTTCCATTTTTATTTCTGGCAAAGATACTTTAGTCTGTTCAGGAAATGTAGTCTGTTCTGGAAATTAAGCCAATATTTTTCTTTTTGAGACAGAGTTAATAAACAGAGATGAATTAATTGAATGAAATACAGAAAGGAGAAAAAGGCATAAATATAGATTATTTTAAATAAAAGTTTCAAATACATATGTTAGATTTATATGTAAAAATATTAAGATATACTTGCTTTCTTGGTGTAAAATTAATGCATTAATCTGTTGAGTGTTAATACTTTCCACCTTATGTACCTAAGAGATTATAGGAAGATAAAACCAATTACTTCTCTTTATCCCTATAGACAATTAACTGATTCCTTTTTTTTTATTTTCATAAACTCAGGGTCAGTCATAAGCACACAGTTTCATCTGTTTAGGACATTGTTTGGGATTTAAAAGCAAAGGATTCAGAGAAAAACCCACTTCCAGGTACATATTACATATAACAAAACATAAGGCTCTCAATTTAGAGTAGATGTGGTAAAAGTTAAATTGCAAGTCGTATTTGATTGTATGTTCTTTTTATATTCTATACCTGCACTGCCTAATACAGTGGTCTTTTAATATTTAAATATAAATTAACTAGAGTTAACCAGAATTTGAAAAGGATTTGCACAGTTGTACTATGTACATTCCAAGTGCTCAATAGCCATACGTAGCTATTGATCTACTTATTCTATATTATAGAACATTCCCATCACTTTAAAAAAATTCTGGTTGGACAATTCTGGTCCAGATAGTAACCACAATATTCCTGTGAGTTTGGAACTTTTTTCATTTTGAAGATTAATTAACTATATCTCAGAGAATTAAAGAAGCTACAAGTTATACACTTGTGAAACTATAAGACCTAGGATTTGAATTTACTGCAAAGAAAATACTTGAAAAAATATTTTGGGACACTTAACTACTTTCATACTTTCTGAATGTTATTGTACTTGTGGAATAACTTATGTGAGAACCCCGCAGAGGGATCCCACTCCGTCCCACCGACCGACGGCGACCCCAATCAACCACAGGAGACGTCCCTTGATGCAAACTGCAAGAGGTTTTATTCCAGCGCGCGCTGGGGCTCAGCTCATACTCACGCAGGAGCAGAGGAGATGGGCGCCCAGTCAGGGGTTTTTCATCTTTTTATATGCAAAAATCACACATCAGGGAGGGGTGGCATGCAGGAGGGTAAGAGGAGAACAAAGGAATTCCAAAGGGGTCTGGTTTGTGTCTTGATAGGGATAAGGCACTCCCGCTTGGTGTTTTTACAACCTGTTTATCTCAATGGTTGATTGAAGCCTGCCCTTTGTTGGGGCTATCTCCTGGAACCTCCTCAGGGAGGGCGTCTTTCCCTCTGCTCCTATCTCTAGTGGGGGAGGGGGGAGCCTGGGGAGTTGAACTAAAACAGGCAATTAGGCCTGACAGCTGGGCCTGTGCATTTTGTAACATTCTTTTATTCTTTCACTTACATATGTTTTGTTTTGCATAAAGCAACGGTTGATAGGGTTTTTGAAATGTTTCAGATGGAGTCACCCACCTCCAACGCCAAGAACAACTCATTTCCAGGTCATAGATAAAAATGGAACCTGTTTGTAGTTCATCCTCTGACTACATGTAAAGTATATTTTAAAATCAAGAACCATGGACTCAGGACGAAAGCTCTAACGCTAATAAAATTTATTTTTGTGTACTTACTATTGTTGTCTCTTTTAATTTCTTAAAAAACCTGAGTATCTCAATGGATTTTCAGAGAAAAAAGTCTGAGCATTCTGCTACGAATCTGTTGCGTCTTGACACTGTAGATGATGGGGTTCATCAAAGGTGGGAAAAGGATATAGATGTTGCCCATGAGGACATGGACCATGGGGGAGAGATGCTTGCCAAAACGGTGCACCATTGTTAGGCCAATGATAGGGATGTAGAACACCAGGACAGCACAGATGTGGGAGATGCAGGTCTGAAAGGACTTACGCCGCTCCTCCTGAGAGGCGATTGCCAGAACTGATTTAAGAATCATGACATAGGAGAAAAGGATAAGAACAGCATCCAACAATAGTGTGCAAATGACCAACATCAGGGCATAGTAGCTATTGAATCGGATGTCTGAGCAAGCTAGACGGAGAAGGTCCTGGTGCAGGCAGAAGGAGTGAGAGAGAATGTGGGGATGGCAATAATTTAAGAACTTTAGGCGAACGATGACTGGAGGTATGAGTAGTGTACTCCTACATACGATTGCCACCCCAATTTTTATGATTTTGTCATTAGTTAGGATGGAGGAGTAGCGCAGTGGGTGGCAAATGGCGATGTAGCGGTCAAAAGCCATAGCGAGGAGAACAGAGGACTCCATGAAGGACAGACCATGGATGAAATAGGACTGGGCAATGCAGGCATCCAGGCTGACTTCCTTGCTGAGCCCCCACAGGGTCCCCAGCACCGTGTGCACTGTGGACAGCCCCATGCACAGGTCAGTGAGGGCCAGCATGGCCAGGAAGTAGAACATTGGCTGGTGCAGGCTGGGCTCAGTCCGGATCACATGCAGCACCATGCAGTTGCCCAGAAGTACCATGGCATAGATGGCAGAGAAGGGGATGGAGATCCAGGGATATTGCTGCTCCAGGCCAGAAAATCCAGTGAGATGGAAGGAGGAGAAATTCATAGTAGGGCTTATTGAAGCAATCACTCTGGAACTGAAATACATCTTCCAGGCAGCAAGTGTGTTTATTTCAAAGGAAATGATTCGATTTCAGGTGAGTTGGATAGAATTTTGAAGTAAACTGTGCTATGCTAAGTCAATTGACTTGACAAAACATAGCCAAGCAACTCTGTTTTAGAGGCATATTACCTGCTGTGTAGAAGAGAGGGGACTTTTTTTTATGTAATTTAAGAGTCATTATTCATCCACTGGCAGGGCTCAGAGCTGTTCTTAGGAGCCACATGTAAGAACAAATAGTTTGCAGTAGAAAACTAATTTTCAGAAAAGATATAGTACCTGGTACATTTTCCCAAGGATGCTGGTGAGATGCTGTAAATGTAAAATTGGGAGTTGAGGTTCTCAAAATAATTCTCCCCCTTTTCCCTCCAGTTTATCAAGCATTTAAGAATAATCCTGGAGCTTTAATATTATAAGTGCATTTAAATAGTCATTTCATACCCATCGTTTCCTACATTGTGCTGCCTCCAAATGCATTTTTCCTCCATATAGTATTTAATGAAGGTGTTTCTGTTTTATTCCACTCCAGATGACATAGCCAACAATTACTTTTTCTTCCTTGGTGATAGATAGGGAAGAATATTTATACACAAGACCTTTGGTGAATGATTTCCCACAGGAGCGCTGTCCCTCTGAGATGTTAGACTCATCTGTGCCTTTGGGGCACAGAGACTTAGGTTGTAGATCCACACCCTCTGGCATTAGTCCATTGTATTCTGTGAACTCATTCATTCATTCAATCGGTCCATTGAGTGTTCATTTAATATGCTTTTATGGAAGAGATTGAGCAATTGTTTTTTTTTTTTCGTTAGAATTTGCCATTTTATAGACCAGAAGGTTAATGTCAAGTAGCTGTCTAGAATTTTAAAAGCCTCATTGCAGTAGAATTGATTGGCTTCTCCTTCACATAATTTTCCTGCCTTAAGTTCTGGCCCTGAAAGTCTTCGCAAAAGATTTAAAGGCTGCTGTAAAGTAGATAGGTGCTTAAAAGTCCATACTGGCTTTCCTGTTTGATTTAGTTATTTCAGTGTGTTAAAGTGGCATCAGATTCTGGCTTGCTTTTGTGACCTATTCCTCATCTTTATTATTATAGCTCACCAGGCAGCTCCTCAGGTTAATCTTCTTTGGAATGTACCTTTTGTCCCTGTCAACATTAGATAACTTAGCTCACTATTTTAATACATTTCCTCCATCAAATGAAATTTCTTTGTCCTTTAAAGAAAAATTGGTCAGCTTTTAAAGATTCATTTTTCAAAATTACCATTTCCCTTCTTTTATGAGACTTTTCTACCGATGTTCTCTGCCTAAGATGGTTTTTCACAAGGAGGAGACAGGGGTTGAGGTGAAGTTCCTCAACCTTTGCTTCCTCTTGTAAAACAGTCTTACCTCACCCTACGCATCTCCTCTAGTTGGTTGGAGTTTTATCTTTTATAATAAATTCATAATAGTAAGCTAAAAAAAAAAACAGTCTTAAATTTAAACCCTCTGCATCTCAACCATCACTTTTCAGGAAGCCCCTTATATGTTCCCATATATTTTATTATTTTGATAACACATATTTATATTTATAAACATTGCACAATTATAGAGGTACAAAAATAAGATAAGCCCTAGTTGGTTTGGCTCAGTGGAAAGAGCATCGGCCTGTAGACTGAAAGGTCCCAGGTTCGATTCAGGTCAAGGGCACATGCCCAGGTTGTGGGCCCGACCCCCAGTAGGGGGCGTGCAGGAGGCAGCCGATCAATGGTTCTTCCTCATCATTGATGTTTCTACCTCTTTTTCCCTCTCCCTTCTTCTCTGAAATCAATAAGAATATATTTTTTAAAAAATAAGATAAATATAAATACATTGTAAAAATGCCACATGCATCTTATTGTCACATGCAATCAGTCTTGTGTCATTGAATATAAGGTTTAGATGACATATAAAACAGATGCTGCCCTAGGAATCCTTGCTGACCTTGGGTACAACATTCAGAATTCAAATAAGATTCCTACAATTCTGACCCAGTCATATAGACAAATCCCTGGGATTGAGGACAAAGGAATCAAAGGATGTAGGCATACATTAAAAGCACATACGCTCATTCAGGATTCTTCAAACTAACCACAAATTTTTATGGTGCCTCCACAGAGAGTATCAGCCTTTTATCAACAGAAGATCAATAGATGTTGGAATTTTATTGAAGTTCTATTTTAAGATGTAGATGGGAGTCAGAAGAGGATAGTGTTGATGAGACCAATCAATGAAGACTTCAAGAGGAAAGTGTTCAGATATGTCAGATGCACCATATGCTCCACCTGCACTAAAAAAGAGAACAAAAAGACCAACATTTCCCCAAACATCATGCTGTGTTATGCCACCTCAAAGTCATGGTGCATAATAATTCTTTTTAATTTGTAGCAACCAGAACAATGCCTGGCATAAAATAAATAACTAAACAGAATAAGCAGCAGTGAATTTGAGTCTGGGGAAGTGATAGGATTCTGGTACTCCCTCTGTGTGCTTTGTCTAGAATTCTGGAATGTTCATTTAGAAAGCACACATGTGATCAAATTAAACACATCATATTTTCAGGGGACTTTTTTTCTTATTCTTTTCAATTCAAACTGACCCAAGTGTTCAGGCATCTGTACTTTTATTTCTCTCATTGAAAATAATATCCTATATTATTATTTTTCAAATTAGATAGGTTAATGACAAATAGTCTTTGCTTACCCTAAAGGCATAGAGCAAGAATGTTGGGTCTAAAAATCAGTGTCTTTATAATTATATTGAATAGAAAACATGGTTGTTGTTTTTTAAGACAGTCCAGGTTTTTGTTTATTCTTCAGTATAATTATTTAATGACACCCACACAGGAATTGCTTTGAACAATTAATTAATTATATTGCCACTCTTTGAGAGATAATTTCTCTAATGGTCCCATCTGTCCACCAGCAGGGGGCAGAAGTAATCCATTGACTCTTCTCCTTCCTCCCTCCCCCGCCCGCCCTTTCTTCAAAGAAGCATAAAGCAGGTTTGTTTTAGACCTGGTTAAGCATAAGTGAGGACAAGCGTCTTAGCTCTTAGCATGGCTAAAGAACTAAGAACCTTCTGTAAGGCTAATCCAAAGAATATGTGTTCAGAGGTTCTGATATGGTAACACTGGAGATAATTTATTCACCACAAACCCAGAGTAAACTTGAAATTTCAGTTTACATGAAGTGTTATGATTATTAATTTTGTGAATGAGCTCTTTATTATATATTATTTCTTTGTTTATATATTTTTACGATATATTTATACTTTTCTATTTATATTGTGTAAGTTATCTATAAATGTATTATTATCATGATTAAAATATTGAAACATTATTATCCATAATTTAGAAACATGATAAATATTATATTATATGGTACATATGTTTAACTGTTGCCATCTGTGTATTTAATACATTTTCCTTAGGATTTGTGTGATTTGATTAAAGTATGACATAAATACAGGGAGTTTACCTGTTTTATTTTAATATTTTCCTATATCTAAGAAAATGTGAGACAATTTAAATAAAAAACAGATATAATAAAATGACAAACACATCCGCCGAGTGGTCCCAGATTAGAGAGGGTGCAGGCCAGCTGAGCTACAGCCCCTCCCCATGCATGAACTTTGTGCACTGGTCCACTAGCAAATATATAAAGTATTATACATATTTAAAATTGTTCCCAATGAATTGTAGACTAGGTCAATAAAATCTAATTCAGGCCAATAAAATATAATTATAGAATAGGCCAGTAAAATATAATCCAATGAAATGTTATCTCATTTTCAAGATAAAGAAATTTATAAAGATTTTCTAAGAAATTAAGTACCAAAACCCAGGTAGGGGAAGTTTTCTGTCATTATTTGTTCAAATAGGTTTTCCATTTCTTGCTCTCTCTCTTCTTCTGGCACCCCCATTATACAAAGGTTGGTATGATTAAAGTTGTTCCAGAAACTCCTTACACCATTATCATTTCCCCCCCCTTTTTTTGTTGTGCTGATTGGGTGTTTTTTGCTTCTTTATATTCCAATGATTTGACTATCTGTTTCAGCTACTCTACTGTTGAGTTCCTGTAATGTATTCTTCATTTCAGTTAGTGTGTTCTTCATTTCTGACTGGTCCTTTGTTATGTCTCCTATGTATTTGTTGGAGTATTTCCTAAGTTCATCTACTCTTCCCCTAAATTCATTGAGCATCTTTATAACCAGTATTTTCAACTCTGCATCTGGTAGAATACTTGTCTCTATTTTGTCTAGTTCTTTTTCTGGAATTAAACATTTGGGACATTTTGTTTTTGTGTTAGGATTTTGTCTCCTCAGTTTGTCAGCCTTCCTGTGTTTGTTTCTATGTGTTAGGTAAAACTGCTAAGTCTCCTGGGCTTGGTAAAATGGCTTTATGTAGTAGAGGTCCTGTAGGGCACAGCGGTGCAGCCTCCCCAGTCACCTGAGCTGGGCACTTCAGGTCCACCTCACATGTGAGCTTTGTGCACCCTCTTATTGTAGTTGAGCCTTGATTGTATTTGCCATGCCAATGGCAGGGATTTACCACCAGGGTGATAGTCTACTACCATGGAGGATCTGCTGTGCAGGGGCTGACCCCATGGAACAGAATACAATTCAGTGGAGCTCAGGTACTCACCCTGTCCACCCCTTGAGTGTGTTGCTCAGGGAGGTAATTGGGTGGTGCTTCCACATTATCTGAAGCCATTCACCAGGTGTGCTGGCTCTGGGGCCTCCCAGGAAGTGCAGGCCAAGATCAGCAGCTGCCTGTGCCCTTTTTGAGGCCACCTTGCATGAGCTACAAAGTGATCTGTAGATGGCTGCTACTTGTGCTGGATTTGGGAAAGGCCAACCTCTGAACCAAGGCTGGCAGTTGCTAGTGCAGGCAATGGGGCACTTAGGGAGAGGTATGGGGCACACAGAGGCCAGATTCTGCTTGTTTGAGAGATTTTTAGGAAAGTTGGCTGCATGAGCCAAGACAGGCCTTTGGGCCTACAAGTTGGGTGGGGTTTCAAGGAATCACCAGGGCAGGGTGAACAGTGTTAGCCATGTTGATTTAGCCAGCCGTGGGCAAACTACGGCCCGTGGGCTGGATCCGGCCGTTTGAAATGAATAAAACTAAAAAAAAAAAAAAAGACCGTACCCTTTTATGTAATGATGTTTACTTTGAATTTATATTAGTTCACACAAACACTCCATCCATGTTTTTGTTCCGGCCCTTCGGTCCAGTTAAAGAACCCATTGTGGCCCTGGAGTCAAAAAGTTTGCCCACCACTGATTTAGACTCAGCCATGTCATCTGCCTCCCTACTTTGTGGTGGGAGGACTCAGCAAAGGAACAGTGGCTTCTGCCAGCACTTCTACCTGGAAAAAAGGTTCCCCTCCATACCCCACCCTGATGCCAGAAAATTTATTTCCTCCCCATGTGTCCCTGGTGCCTTTAAAGCTGCTGCCCCAGTGCTGGAGTGAGTGGATCGCAATAAATTAGTGCATTGACCCTTTAAGAGGAATGTCTGGGGCTCCAGAAGCCCTCCTTCTCACTCAGCCACAATCCCCATTGGTGTCTACATCCAGAAGTTATCAGGACTTCTCTTCCCAACACTGGAACCCTGGGCTGGGGGTTCTGGTGTGCGGCTGAAGCTTCTCACTCCTAAAGGGAACCTCCCCCCCCCCCAATTTTTAACCAATACATGTGGGAGTAGAACCAGCCAATTTTGTATCTCTGCCCCTCTTACCAGTCTTCGTGTAGTTTCTTCCTCATATTCTTAGTTATAGGACTTCTGTTCAGCTAGATTTCAGGTGGTTCAGAATGATGGCTGTTCTGTAGTTTGGTTGTAATTTTGATGTGGTTGTAGGAAGTTCCCAATACTGCATTTATCTACACTGCCATCTTGACTGGAACTGTACATCATTTTTACTGAGGTGTGATCTGTTAAATTCTTTGGCCGCCGAATAGTTTTTAAGTACAGAAAAAAGGGATAGCAATGTAAGGATGCAGGATAAAATGGGAAAATAAAAGAAAATAAAACTTTTCTGGAGTGATGTTGAAAATTTGCTATGCAGTGAAAAGTATAATGAACCCAACTGTGTGCTTGAAATTCAGAATTATCATCACCATGGTCATTATTGAAACAAAACCAAAAAGGGGGTAGTAATCCAAATAATCTTTGTTTCTATATGGGAATGCAAACAAGATTTCTCTTCTTTGCCCAGCATCTGAACAAGTTGGATAAAGTCTATCAAATGTATACAGAGGAAAAACAATTAATTCAAACAGTGTAAGTCTGCCCTACTGCTGTTGTTGATTTCATAAGCTTCTATATATTGCTTTATTGTTTGCTAGTTCCAATATTTTTTTTATCCTTTGCACTTTACTGACAAGCACCTACCGCATGCAAGGGTGTCAGTTATCAATGGATTGCCTCTCAATTACAAATCTAAACTTAATGGGCTCTTCTATGATAATGGAGATAGACTCTTAAAAATTCCAGTTGACACAATGATAAATTGTGCTGGTGAGGCCCTAGGGGATTCTCTTCCTAGTTCTATTGTGATCCTTTAGTCAGGATCCTGCAAAAATCTCTGTCTCTGCAGCACCAGAATATGGCAAGGCATTCAGCCTCTTTGGTGCCAGCCTCTAGCTGTACACATGGCTTTGCAGCAGAACATTTCAGGCTAGCACCTCCTGTGAGTGGCTCCCCTTTTTATACCCCATGGATGGCTTTGCAATAAAGTGTTATTCTTCTGGAATTTTCCCATGACTCACTTCTTCAACCCTCAGTTTTATAGAAAGATCTGGGGTTCAGTTAATTTACATGGGTGGCTTCCACTGACACCCCAGGGAGCAGATTCTCAATAAATGCTTCTGGCAGGGCACCTCCCAATGGGTGGCTACTTATGCATCTTCCTTTAGGCAACTTTGCAGCCTCAAAAATTGTTTAACCTGTTGATCCTCAGGCATGCTCTCTCTCAAGAGCTTTGTTTATCAGTCCCAGGAGAAAAACCTCCCCCAGATTATTTCTTAATTGATTGCTCTATATAAGAACTAGGAGCAGTGACTGCTCCCTATGTCTTCTCTTATATTTTTAGGGTCCTCTTTACTCCTTATTGACTAATCTTTAATTTCTCCAATCTCTGGTTATAGTTAATAATTCCTTATCATTACATGTCTCTTTTTCAAATTTCAATGTGGTTTTTGGCCTCCTCATTGAAGCTGATACACTGGGCTGTTCAATAATGAAAAAAATCACACAGATTCCTGAATATAAGAGATTGGGGGATATGAATGGTGCTAGGTAAGCAATAATATTTCTTGCTCTGGTTTTTCTCTTTCATGAGACAGCTCTTTTAGGCATCATAATGAATATTAATTAATGACACCACTTCTACTCTTATTGTCCATAATAATGTTAATAAAACATTATTAGATTACATTTCCTAAGACATGTATCAGGCACTGTTAAGTGTCAGATGTTGCAATTATTGCAGAATACCCCAGAAAAACCAAGCGATGCTTTGAAGAAGTGGAAAGGCACTGTTTTAATTACACTGATGGACTCCTGGAAATAATTTCCAGATCAGAGTGAAGTAGCATGTGGAAGGCTTCACTTTTTATAACCTTCTGGACCTTTGTTCTGCAGATATGCTCTCCCCAACCCCTTCATGGCCCTGCAGGAAGACCCCCGGTGTTGATGATCCGTCCTGGCGCCAGTGATAATGGCTCCCCCCTCCCCCAGGGAAGTTCATTGTTCCTGACATGCCTTACAAGACCAGTTTCCTCCTCACAATAAACTTTTTTGTATGCTTTATCTCATTTAATCCTTATAGTCACACCATAAGAAAGACATAGATCATTTTGGATATTTTATAGGAAAGAAAAAAAAGGTTCAGGCAGCATATGTGAAGTGGTAATGTATTTAATCCAGGCTGCTTGACTTCAAAGCTTATGTTCTAAACTGCTATACCATTTTATCTCACTTGTCAATTCACTGTATAAGCATCTCATATGCAGAGTGGCTAGTGAAAGGGTGAGGGCTATGCCCCCCATCTTACCCTGGATCCTCCATGTTAGGGCAGAGGCCATGTGCTCAGAAGAATGCCTTCTTCCCTGAAGCCCAGGCCCCTGCTGGCCACGCCCGGGATTTCTTTGAACTAACCAATGACAAGCAAGGGATGTGCGCGCCATAGAGATGACCACATCCTGTGTAACAAGACCCGACTTGCGCCTGGCCAATCGGCAGGGCCCACAGTCAGCTCCCCTCCCCTCACTATTAAAGCCCTGATTTTCTCATGGGTGGCACTCGGTTTCCCGTCGCTGCGTCGACTGGAGGCCCGGGTCGGGTTAGCTAACTCAATAAAGGACCTTCTGCTTTTGCATCGGACTGGCTCCCTGGCGTGGTTTCTTGGGGAGCTTGAATTCTGGGCATAACAGTTAGATTGCATTCTTTTGTTTATAAATTTCTAATTTTAAATGTGTCCTCTACAGTGTTCACCAAAGTTTATATTCATATTTTATTTTATCCTGCCCTGTCCTTCCTTATCATATCTACCAGGGGGCAGTTTTTCTTCAATTGTCTTTCCTTCTTACTTGAAATTATCAGAATACCAAACATGTTGCTGATAGGGGCAGAAATGGAATGTTGGGGAACCAGCTAGAATTGTAAGAAATACTAAATATGCTCTTTGAACTGTTATTGTTTTATTCTGATTAAAGAAGGCACATTCTAACTTGGTGGGCAGCTTCACTCTGGACCTGGGAGCTCACCTGGAAATTCAGCCCATACTCCTCATCTATTATCATGGAAAGATTAACAACTTTGCTGCAGAAACCAGAGTTGCCAGCCCTTTGAAGACCTTTGCCCTTTTTGCATATCACTAAGCCCTTTGAAGAGCCCCAGCCCTCTGCTTACCTGTTAACTGCCCATTTGGCATACCCTTTGGATAGTTCCTCATGTAATCTTTGTCCTCCTCTTACACTAAATAAGCAGCTAGCTTATGATGGGGTACAGAGTAGATTTTTATGGATGACCTGCTATTTTCCCATACTGCTGGCAATATTGGAATAAACATGCATATATGATTCAACCCTATCTCTGCTTAATTGGCTCAAGTAGTGACAGGCAACAGGGACCCATTGATTGTCCTATTACATTACTACTGTATTTGTCAATGGTTTGGTACATACCATTCATCCTTTCCATTTTTTTTCTCCTTCTATTTCTGACCAGCATCTACTCATCCTTATCACTCATTTCAACCTCTGATCTCATTAAACCCTGTACACACTGATTTATAGTCACTTGTTAGATGCCTTACTTTCAATACTTTCCAAATTAGATTACTATTTGGGGTACAGAGGAGACATGAACTATTTCAAATTCTTACTTTATTTCAAGCAGCCAGCACCCATCTAAGGGGCTATTGAATGAGGAAATAACATAGGGTGTGCTGCTGATGATAACACTATGCTAATGACTACACGGGTAGAGCAGCCATCAGCGGTAAGATAAGGAAGAGAAGAGACCTCCAGTCAATTCTTGAATATGAATGCAAAAGCATCCTGAAGAGACTGGGATTCCTTTGGTATAAGCCTGTGACAGGATTTAGGGAATATCAAGCCACAAAAAGTCCCTCAGTCCTATCTTTTTCACAATATTAGCAGGCCCCTCTTCCAAATACAGACTGTGAAAGGCTCCAGGGCAGAGGCAGTGAAATGCTCTTCCCCAGCTTCCTGTCCCGCAAGCAGATCTGTATAAGGTGATGAGGGAAGAGCAATGGGAACAGCAAAACATGTAAAAAAAAAATTAGAGGAACAGGAGTATCTCTAGGCAGAAGAATTTAGTGGATTTGGGCTGTGACATTCTGGGCAACTGAAGACATTTATAAGCAAGGCTAAAAAATAATATAAATAAAACAGCAAAATTCTAACCCCCAAATTAATCTTCAACTTGAATGCTTTTCTGAATCAAAAAGAAGAAAAAAAAAAAAAAACAGCAGGGTCTGCTTCCCACATATTAACTATTTTATTATTTTTTAATCTTTATTGTTGAAAGTATCACATAGGTCCTCCTTTTCCCCCCATTAACTTCTTCCAGCCCACTTCCATCCCCCATCACCCCCGAGACCTTCACCACCCCATTGTCTTTGTCCGTGGGTTATGCATACATGCATACAAGTTCATTGGTTGATCTCTTCCCACCCATCCTCCCCTGCCTTTCCTCTGAGGACACATATTAACTGTTTACAACCTCTCTTTTCATGGAATCCAAGATATAGACATACTTTCCTGACCTCTGACCTAGCCCTTCATTTCTTTATGTTTTAAATGCCTTGCCCTCCCATGTGCCCAGCTGAGTGAGAGAGGCAGACATAATTAAAAAACACCAGTTCAATGAGAATAAATGCTTTTTATTAGGCAGAAGCCAGATGCTCAAAGCCCTTCATAGAATTCCCATGTGCAGCTGTTGGGCTCTGGGGCGAAAGGCACCTTTTCCGGAAAACAGGAAAAGGAGCTCAGTGGTATTTGTGAGCCAGGGCAGTGGCCACACCCAGTGCCACCTTCTGGAAGGCACCCTGCACCTGGGGGGTGAATTCCTTGCCAAAGTGGCGAGCCAGCACAACCACCAGCACGTTGCCCAGGAGCTGTGAGGAAGACACAAGAGGCATGGTCATGGTTAGCAGATGGACCAGATTGGACTTAGAATATTCCAGCCTCTTTCCAAGCTGTGTTTTTCAAATATAAGCAGAAAGATAGTAGGATCTCTGATGATACTATTGATGCAAATCCATCCACATCAGGCTGAATTTTTACTTGATAACATTCTTTCCTTTCTGTCTTACCCCAGAACTTAAGTTATCACTTTTATTCTTTTTAAATATATTTTTATTGATTTCAGAGAGGAAGAGAGAAAGAGAGAGAGAGAGAGAGAGAGAGAGAGAGAGAGAGAGAGAGAGACCAATGATGATAGAGAACCATCCATTGGCTGCCTCCTGCACGCCTCCCACAGGGGGTCAAGCCCACAACCCAGGCATGTGCCCTTGACCAGAATCAAACCCAGGACCCTTCAGTCTGCAGGCCAATGATCTATCACTGAGCCAAACTGGCCAGGACACTATTATTCTTTAGAACCATTCAAAGAAGTAGTAACACATTTGAAAAGAAGACATAAAGGAGAGAGAGTATAGGTTATTTTAAGTGGACTGAAAAAGACTTTTGTAAAAATTTAACACTCAAAATAAACAGTTTACTTCAAAAATGAAGAGAAGACATTGCAGAAAATGAAAAGAAAAGAAAAAAGAGCGAGAATAAATAAGAGAAAACAATGGTTGTGAGCAAAGAAAGCACAAGAAATTAAATGGTTCTGTGTAGTCCTTAGTGACGTATATAAAACTATATACATTTTGAAAGGCATTAAATAATGAAATATGGTAAGGTTAAAAGGAACCTGGAAGAACGGGTAGGTGAAGAACCAAAGAGAAAGCCTAGAAAGTGAAAAGCAAAAAGTAGAACATCTCCTAGACTCACCTTGAAGTTCTCAGGATCCACGTGCAGCTTGTCACAATGCAGTTCACTCAGGCTAGCAAAGGTGCCCTTAAGGTTGTCGAGATTCTTCAGACCCTCGCTGAAGGAGTTCAGCACTTTCTTGCCATGGGCCTTCACCTTACTATTGCCCATCACAGCAGCGGCATTGGACAGGTCCCCAAAGGAGGTGAAGAACCTCTGAGTCCAGGGGTAGACCACCAGCAGCCTGAGGGGTGAATGCAGCACAGAAGACAGAGGGAGTCAGTGCCTGTCAGAAACTCACACACCCAGCTTCCACTCTTTCCTTATGCCTGGATACCTACCTGCCCAGGGCCTCACCACCAACTTCATCCACATTCACCTTGCCCCACAGGCCAGAGACAGCGGCCTTCTCATCAGCAGTCAGATGCACCATGGTGGCTGTTTGTGTAGTTGCTAGTGAACACGGTTGTGTCAGAAGCAAGTGTAAGCACCAGCTAACCCTGCTCTTCTTTTATGTCCTGCCCTGGCCCCTGCCCTCCCAGCTCCTGTGAGCAGATTGGCCCAGGCCAGGGTGTGGTTCTTCAGAGTGAGGACTCAATGATGACAGTTATGCCTGTCCTTGCCAGTTCTGGCACTGGCTTGGGAGTCTGACTTTAGACCCTCAGCCTTCTGTAGGAATCTCAAGGTCCCATCCAGGAGTACAAATTGCTACTTAAAATCACCCTCCTTAAAAAATTTGCTTATGTGATTCTTAGAATCACAGCCTGGTAATGTCTTAGAGTTCGCCTCCTCAGTTTTCTTATTTGACAAATGAAGAATCTGAGGTCCAGAAAATTCAACTTAAGGGTATATGGATGGTTCACTCCTGTCTTCAGAGTAAACATATTTATAAGGACAGCATGGATGATACCTTTGCCCTAGTTCTAAGTATATCTTTCTTTACTTGGTTTGGATCATATCCTCCTGGTAAGAAAATATCTACTTCGTTCATTTAAAAAAACTCATATAACCAAATAAAAATGATGATTAAAAAGTAGGATAAATACAAATCAGGAATGTTCTGTGAAATAGTTGCCCTATTAGATTTGGGGATCCACAGATAGAAACTTAGAGATCTCTCAATGTTGTAAGACATACGGATAAGTAAAAAATCAATTACAACCCCAAATTGTCAGTAACACTGAAGGGAACAATGTGTTAAAATACAAACCAGGGACACGTAGATTTTTTCTTCCTGGGCTGATCTGGGAAAGAAAATACCAGTATCTGAGCGAATAGATAAGTGTTCTGTCACTTAAAAGAAGGGGTGGGAAAGTGGAAAGGCATTCCTGCCTTAGTGCCTGTTATGTTTTCCTTAGGCCACTAAGCATTCCGTGTGTATTATCATTTCTCTGATGCAAATTCATCACCCATGTTCCCATTTTCTCTATATGTTTTATTTGTTTAAACCTTCTTTTACTAAAATTTACTCTTTTATCTCTACAGCTTTTCTAATACCCATGCCCTGCCCCACCCATATAACCCCTGGAGCTCCTTTTTCTTATGTAATAAATTCTGTTAACTTCTCAGGCTAGGAAAGAA